TTCAAAAAAAGAATTTTTAGAACTCGAATTGCTCAATATTTCATTTATGACTTGGCATTAATGTCCCTTCTCCTACCAACAAGAAAAAAGAAGCTGAAGAAATGTACCGATTACCAATTCTTCTATTAATTTGTTTTATATATATTTAAAATCTTAGATAAAAATTTTGTAAAATAAAATCTTATATAAAGAAATAATTTTTAGTTCATCTGGAATATATGTAAAATCAAGTATGAAGTCTCCATTAATTTTTCTTTTTTATTTTCTACACTGAGGTGGTGTTAGTTGTTTATTTTATTTTAATGGAGATACTGGGGATTGACTCCAGAACCTCACCACACATGCTAAGTATGTGCTCCCCACCACTGAGCTATTCCCTCCCCCCTAATTTTCCTTTTAAAACAGCTTGTCAGTTATTTATTTGGATAATTTAAGTTTTCTTCATTTCCTCATTAAATATTATACTCCTCCACAATGTTATAGAGTTGTATGGGTTGTAAATTTCTTGTATACTTTACTTGTAAATCTTCTTCTGATTTTTACATACTTATTTTGGCTATCTTTTTTTTTTTTTTTAGTAATTTTTCAGTTGATTGTCTTGGGTTTTTCCAAGAAATATGATGTTTGTTTCCTCCAATACCTGCACCTCTTATTTCACTGTCTCATGTAATTACATTGGCTAATGTTTCCAACATTCCAAAACAATGTTAAATCACATCAGAGATAATGTATTTTCTCATTTTGTTCTTGATTTTACTGGGAATGCTTCTAGTGTTTTACTACATGATAGTACCTATTGGTATGAGAGGTGTGAAGGCATTTTTATCCTATTTTATTAGGTTTAATTATAAATACCCTGATTTTCTTTTTTATCAGAGGCCCTTTTAGCAACTGTCAAAATGATCTATTGTGTCTTTTTCCTTTTACTTACTTATATAATGAATTATAACACAAATATTAGGCTTACTAATAGTAACTCTCTTTGTATTCCTGGAATTAACCACATTTGGCCATAGTATATTCTTGTTTTAATGTAGTAAACTCTTTATGATAATATTTTATGTACAATTTTTGCACCAATATTAGTAAGATGTGTCTTAGTTTTCCTTTGGAGGGATATCGTTTATCAGGTTTTAGCATTCTTGCCAGTTACCTTGGCTTTGTAAGAAATAATCTACATGCTTTCTTCCCGCCATGCTGTGAACAATTGAAAATAAGAATTCCTGGTTTTTTGTAGATCTGAAATATCTCCTTTAACATAACTTTTATTGGCACTTATTACATTATTAATAGTAGTAAAGGGTAATTTTTCCAAATTCTTTTATAAGTATGGCCTATTAGGTTTTTTCCCTTCTCTTGTCTTGAGCCAATTTTATTTATCTACATCACCCTTAAAAAAAAAAATCCAGGTTTTCAATATCTAAAACAGAGATACAGCCACATCTAAAGCTTAAATACTGAGAGTAGAATGGTATGAAAAGACAAATCAGAGATATGCAAACAAGTAGAAAACGAAAGTTGGATTTAGAGGCACAAGCAAAACTGAATGCAAAGGGGAAAAGCATACAACTTGGCAGACAGAGTGACCTCACAATAAAAAAGGCGTAATACATTTCCTAAATCCTTGAATCCTAAAAAATAGTCTTCATTTGCCCTTACTTAAGCACAACTTGACTAGTTAGCTAACGCGTTACATTATTTTTATCCATCAAAACTCTCTAGCTGTTGAATCATTAACTTCAGAAATCTTAAGTGGTTGAAAAGAAATAAGCTGGTCTCATGACTTTTCCGTTGTACATGATCCACTTTTTTTCTTGATATTTGGGGTACCACTTCTGTAATCTCTGAAAATTCAGTAAATTCCATCAGGATATTATCCTAAAACATGAGCCTTCTTGATCTCTAGGTTATGTTTTCATTCATTCTAAACAAGTTTACTATTATTTTTAAGAAATATTTTCCATTTCCCATTATTCTGTTGTCTTCTGCACAGAAACCAATTATGGCTTTTTAATATCTGCAATTCCCTTTACTTGCCTTCATTTCTTTGCCCACTATTTCTACATTCTATGCAGTTTCCTCAAGCTCAATTTCTACCTTCCTGATTACATCTTCTTTATTGTTCAGTCTGCTCCTTGCTGTTTATAATTACATTCTATAATACAAATACGTTCTTGCTCTTCTTTATCCTTAGTTCTGCCATTTCCCTTTTTATGTTATCTTATTTTTGTTCTCTCTTTTCTTCCATATGTCATTTGCTATTTAACTTTCTTGGCAGTTTAGAACAGTCAAAATCTTCTTTTGTCCTACAAAAGTTCAATTCTTCCGAAGTGTTAATCAGCTATCTTTTTAATGTAAAAATATCTGCATAGGTTTCATGTTTGTTAATTTATTTGCATTCTTGTTAACTCATTTTTGAATTAGAGAAATTATCTCTGGCTCTGCCATTCAAACAAAAACGCAGATAGTGTCTTCCTGATGACTGAACAAGGAACACGTGTCTTAAAAAATTAACATCAAAGCTCCCAACTCAAAACTACACCTGCTTAATCAGCTGGATAAGTAGCATGCAGGAGGGAGTTGGGACTAAAGGTAGTGAGCGCTTTATTTCTGTGTAATTTCTCTCCAAGTGTGCTTGAACTCTTCCACTGAGACCCAGCTCCACTTGGACAATGGCCATATCCTATGTTATAAAGGGACTCTAAATTTTGGCACATCTGCCTACTTTGGGGTAAGCCAGACTCCTGAGAGACTTGCTGAGTCAGAATGAAACCCATAATTCACCATCATTTCAGTTTAGTGGGTCAGCACTTTATTTTTTTCTGTTCCTGTAAAGTTGGTAATAAGACATTTGCTTTATAATTCTACTCTAAACCTTACCTCACCTCTAAGCTTTGCTCCTCCTGTTAAGAAGGAGGTCAGCACAAAGAAAATTGGTATGACCAAAGTCTTTCCTTTAGTTCTATTCTAGCTGGTTTTCCTTATTTCTCTCAAAGCCTGCCCATACCTCAGTCTTCTCCCTCTAAATTAGCAAATGACAGAACACTTACTAAACATTCCCATATATACCAGATTCAGGGATATGTGTATCAGTTGTGAATGTTCTCACATTCAATTCAATCTAAATGGCTTATCTAGCACCAGTTCTGTTCAGTCTTAAGTCACTTCTACTTAGATATATTTTTCTTTTGGTTCTTTTAAATTGTTACGTGAATTCAAAGGAAGATAATTTAATAAACATTCATTTAACTCTATCATTTTTCCTCAACATCAAATCACCCAATTTAATAATTTAAAACATAAAATCTGCATACATATTTTATCTCCTGGAAGACATATACTGTGAGTTATTCATTGAGAACAGTGCACACACACAGCAGGTATTCATTATCAGTTGAGTTAATTCTCCTCATAAGAGACATATGAAATATACTCAGCATATAAATAAAATAATTTTAGGTACTTCAGTTCCATATTAAAGCAGCATATGTTTTAAAATGCCCTTGTGTGTTCTAAAATTTCGACCTTGCTCTTGTAGTTCTCCTACAAATATATCAAACAATGTTTCTTTAAAAGGTACAAGGAAAGTCAATCTACAATGAAAATAAAAACTTCCACTGAATAAATCAAAATAAAACTTGTTCAAAGCTCTAATCAAGAAAGGAACTGTGTCATAATGGATATGGCACTACAGGCACTGCAGACAAACAAGCCTGTATTCAAATCTTCACTCTGTTTCTTGCTAGTTATATGACCTAGAACCATTCAGCTCAAGTAAACATTAGATTCCTCATTTGGAAGATTAGGGTAATTCCCACACTTCACTGAATTGTTACAAGGTTTAAATGAGATAACATAATAAGTGCATATTCTGTAAATGGTAGTTATATACAGTTTATACATATACATATACCTCCAAACTCTGATCTCTGACCTGGATAGGAGAGTCATAGCTCCATTCCAAAGGGAAATTCATGCCCTAGACTCCCTTAAAAATTAAGAAGTTAGTTCTAAACAGTAAAGTTTCTTACCCTTGCCGAAGAGCATAACTGTTAACAAAATGCTGGTATGTTTCAATTATCATTTAAGTAATGTTTTCGTCCCATGTATCAGATTTCTAGAACTAAGTTCACATGAACAGGAAGGAATAACAAAAAGTGTACCTGAGCTTCTAAAAACTAGCTCTGTCCACAGTCTCTTTCTGCGGAAAAGCACCATAAGTAACTCTTCAACATAAAGACGCGTGGTACCCTAACCACTAACCAGACCAATGAGGCAGAGGTAAAACCGATCACCAGTGACTATGGCAATGCCAGGACCAACTATCAGATATGCTCTCCAGTAACGTGGAGGAAAGATGTACATAGTGAAGCAAGCAGGGATCCATAAACAATAAAGATTTATTATTATAGAATTTTGAACAATAACTAACCACTATTAGAGATCTCCAGGTCAACAGCACAATTTCCAATTCTTGGAAATACCAGGACAAAGACATGCGCACACACACAAACACACTGCTGTCAGGATGCTTATTCTGTGCTTCCCTGCTTCCCTGCATCAAATAAAGTACTATTTCTGAAAATTTTCAATCCAATATGCATAATCACAGAAAGAAGTAAAGAGTGCTATGGACAATCCTTTGGAATTTCCCAATGGACCTTAAATTCACATGAATTGTTTATTCTGTGCCATAATATGCCAAGGAACTGTTTTATTGTAAAACCATTGTCATTAAAATCTTTAAGCAAACTGATACTTCAAAAAGAAATGTCATGTTCACTCCACTAAATTTTCTGATCTTCTATAATTTTTCATTAATCTAAAATACCAATCAATGCTTCTCGTGGGAAATAAGAATCTAAACTGAACAGTATAGATTTAAGATAACCTAGACATTATTTTCTCAAAACTTAAAAGATTCAAACTACATATAAATCAAGAAACAGTAAGTTACTTTTCTATCTTCCAGAGTATCTATCAGAATAAACTCAACTCACGATCTGATGTGTGGGAAATCCTCTTCAATTTTGCTTCCTGTGTTTTTGAAAATCTGGAGTGCAGCTTCTGCTACTTTTTCATCATCCATTTTCAGACAAGCCAGGAGAGACTCAAATGTTTCAGCAGAATGAAACGAGATGGGATGTGTAAATGAGAGTACCTAAAAAATTAGTCATTAAAAAATTGATCTGTAAATCCTTTTCACCTTTATAATATAAATCTACAATATTACATATTAGAAATACAAATCAAAATACAAAAATAATTATGCTAAAAAATAAGAGCACTATAAATAAAATTTAAAACTTACTCAAATATATAACAGAAATGTTCTTGTGTAGGAAAACTGCACAATTTAAAGAAACTCTTTCTTCAAAATTAAATTACACATTATTATAATTCTATTCAGAACAATTTGGATTTGGTTAATTTTGAGGGGGGACTGGAGGGAAATGAGGGTAGGAGAAAAGTAAAATAAGAAGATAGAATTTAACAAAATAACTCTTTTTCTAAATAAAGGTCATTAAAAGAGATTACCTAACAACATTTTTTGAAGAAAATAATCTAGGGAAGGAACAGGGTAAAACACCAAATAGCAAAAAGATATTATAAGGTTACAATAATCAAATCAACATGGTACTAACATTACAAGAAACATAAAAAAGAAAAAAGAAAGCAATAAATAGACCCTAGCATATATAAGAATTTAATATTATACAGAGTGTAACAAATTATAAAGAAGCCAACAAAAAAACTGAGAATGGATGGGATTTTTAGTAAATAGTTTTGGTAAAAGTGGGTAGCTACTTGGAGGAAATCAAATTAGACTCACCCTCACAATACACACTTTTAAAATAAATTTTACAGGGGTATGTTTCAGACTTAAAAGTCAACTTTGTGAAGACAGGTACCTTAAACAGAATTATACAGAATACGATTTCTTGGTAAAGGAATTTGACAAATATTATCTCTTCAAGAACTATGAAATGGTCATTCTCTTTGACCCAATAATGCCTTTCTAGAATTACAAAAAAAAAAAAAAAAGACAAGAGATCGTAGATATATTTATTTTTAGCAGTGATTATAAGAATAAAATTAGAAAAATCTAAATATCCAACAAGAGGAAAATAGGAACAATATGATACCCCAAAACTGAACTAATCACTATTCCAAAAAATGATTATTATTATTTTTACTATGAGCCAGACATTGTGCTAAGACATTAAGTTCATGATTTAATTTAGTCCTTGTACAGTAAGTACTATTATTATCTGCATTACAGATGAGTTAGCAGAGGCAATTAACTTGCCCCAAAGCACACATCTAGTAAATGACAGCCAAAAATCAGGTCTGTTTTCTGACACTGAAAAATACTGTCTTAAAAAAATTAAAACACTGAGAAAAATGCTTATAATTTATTACAGGAAAATAGTCAAGATACAAAATTGTACATTCAGTCTAATCTCAACTATATAAATATGTATATTTTTATAAAGATTAAAAGCAAACAAAAGAAATGTTTATGTATGATGCCTTATAAATATTTTCTTCTTTATGATTTTATATTTTCTAAATTAGTAACAATTAACTGATATTTTTGCAATCAGTAAAAGGTGGTAGTATATTTTAGCTACGTAACACATAAAATGGACATTAAAAAAATTTGGCTCCTTCTGTGGTAGAGCTAGCACTTTCTTTACTCACTAACGGAACCTTCAAAAATTCTTAACATAATCAATACTACGCTATGGTACACAATTTAAACCTGAAAGTATTTAGCTTACATGTTAGAATAAATATGCAATTTCAAAATTACCTAAAAGCAATTAAGAAAATTTTACTTTAGGTTCTATAAACTTAAGAAACAAATCCTCAGGATAAAAAATATGAACTATATATGTTTAACACTTGTCTAATGGGGAAGTTAATTTGACCTAAAGCATATTTACCTTAAGTAGTTCAAGACCTGCTCTGATGGCTTGATCAGTTGGAACACCTTCATCTTCATCATCTGCTGTTCCATCTATTGATTTGTTCACTTGCTTTATAAGAGCACTGAAGTGTGACAAAAAATTTTTTTTTCATTTTTTAAGTGTATTTTATCAGCAATGTTTAAGAAAAATAATCCTGAATATTTTCTATATAGACTACATCTAAAGCATATACAAATTTGATAAAGCTGTTTCCCAACCATTATGGCCAAACAAAAAGCTGTAATAAATATTTCAAGATACTTCTTTTTTGAAAAAGAATTTTCCTTTGTCCATTCACATGAGGTCAAAATGTTATTTGATTTGCTGTTTATTAATGCTATATTTTATTCCTGTATTTTTCACAGAAGGCCTATGTCCAAATATGTGAATGATAATAGATGTTTTCTAGCTACCTAAAATTCATTATTGCTCCAGTAACTAGAACCATGAATACTGAAACAAAGAATAAACAGCAACAATAAGCACTTTCAAGCCATTAACCAAAATTACCATGGGTCAGGCACTGTTATAAGAGCCAGAAAAGCCTGCTCCTGAAAGATGTAAAAGTACCAGGCAACAGACAGATAATAAATCCTCACTAGAACATTAGAAAAGATGAAAAAGGAAACACAGTGTTTTGAAACTTTATTCTTAAAACAAGCTTATGTGATTTTTAAAATAAATATTTATAATGCACTGTCAATTATCTAAAGTAATCTTCACCCTGATAGGTTTTTTTTTTTAACAAAAAAACAAGTAACAAACACCAGGTTAGAGACATATTATATACCAAAATATAAGAAAATTCAATTATTCAATGTTCCTCAAAATGTTTAATGGATCTATGTTCCTACAAAAGTACTATGTACTCAAATTTAAGGTCAAGCTCAGAGTCGAATGTATCTTGTCTCCCTTGCAGGGTCCTCTTAAATTTATCATTCCCTTAACAGTTAATATCTTTAAGGATGCTTTCTTTCCTTTTACACCTATTTTCCATGATTAACTGATTCTCATAGTTCAAACTATCCCAAATAAAAATCTTCAGCCTGAATCCTCTTCCCATAATTTCAGCAGCCCCAAGATTTTTTACTTAGTGTACTGCAGGAATGAAAAATAATATATATCCAAAATTAAACTCATTATTTTCTTTTATGAATAAGAGCATGAACCTCTCAGTCTAGTGAGAGAAGGCCAAAGGCCAAGAGTAAGTAAACAAATACATAAAAAAGATTATCAAGGAACAATTAGGACTTGAAAGAAGGCTAAGACAAGAAGTGAGGTTTGTTAGCCAGAGTAGTCAGGAAAGGCATTTCTGAAGAGGTACAATTGAGCAAATAACCAAAGAACAAGAGATAAACATAAAAAAATCTGTGAAAAAAGCATCAACCTGGAAAATCTAAGACATTCAATTGAAAAACTATTACAAAATACTAAGAGTTCAATGAGGTGACACCAACAAAATACTAAAAATCAACAGTACTTTTCTGTATCAGTCAAAGCCAACTAAAAAAAATACAGGGGACGAGGGGAATCTATTTACAAGTTGTCAAAAAATATAAAATAATTAGGAACAGAATCTGCATATAAATTCTAAAATTATATAAAGGGAGTATAGAGATTCGAAAAAAATCAAGACAAGTATTTGTATAAGACGGAAACAGTATTATACAAATAGCATTTTTCACTAAATCTATAAGTATCTCAGAGGAACACAACTTGGTGCGGGACAAGATTCAAAAGATGCATTCTATAACTCATCTGGAAAAATTAATTAATGTTTGGGACAGCCAGTAAGTTTTAGGGGAGCTAGGATGAAATAACTTTCTCAATGAGATAAAAATTATCATAAAACCCTCAAAAGAGAAAGGAACAAAAGCAAAAATCCAGTAGAGCCCAAATATTAAAAAAATTTATGCTATCACAAGGGAATATCCTAAATCAAATGGGAAGGAATCAATTTTTCAATAAATGGAGTTGATAGAACTAGCAACAGGCTTTTAAAAAAGGATGGATCTCTACCTCCACATTACACTGAAATGATTTCCAGACCAATTAAAGATTAAATGTTAAAAAAAAAAACACCAAATATGATATAAAAGGCAGAACAAAATCATCAAGGAAACAAATGATAGATTTTATAATTTACTATTTATTAAGGTCAAGCCTAAATTTAAAAGGCAATCAAAGTGCTTAATAGTCTTATTTTATAAAGTATTCATTAAATAAGAAAAAGACAATTCCTCCAAGCCCCTCACAGAAAAATAAAAATGCAATTAGCCAAAAACACATGGAAAAAAAATGTTTAACTTTATTCACAATACCCTTTTTTTTTAACCAGTACCATCTATCTACAAAATGGCAAAGACTGAAAAGGTTAACAGCTACTATCAGGAAGTGTTAGGTGAACTGGACACTCACTGACCACTGATGGGGACTAAGAGTGGAATCTTTCTGGAGGCCCATTATACAGTGTAGTGGTTAACCAAGAAGGTGCTGGAGCTAGACTTTCTCAGTTTCAATGCCACCAGCTACCTCCCAGCAGTGGGAAACATACTCGGCATCTGCGTAACTCACTGTCCCTTACCCATAAAATGGAAATAATAGTATTTCTTGCCTCATAAAGTTCAGAAGTAAATGAGTTAAAACACATAAAATATTTAGAATCATCCCAGGCACATTATAAGCACCAACAGCTACTACCTGTTATTATTATTTATGTTTAAACATATCTTCTATATCACCACTGGCTAAAGTCAAAGACCTGCTTTGGTCCTCTGTCTCTGTTCATAATATGTATTATTTCTGGAAACTTTATCTTAACTTTCAAACATACTACAATAAACAGATTTTCTTATCCTTCTGTAATTTTTCTATTGTTAAAAAAAAAATTCCAAGGTTCTGTCCATGATCTTTTGATCTTTCTACACAATCTTGCTCCGGGAACTAACCTATTCTCACAGTTTCACATTAAATTCAATTTGCCTTGATTAAAAAAAAAAATTGTCATGTCCAAATAAGAAGCATGCCCTTTCTCACCAGCTCCCTTCCTTCATTTCAAGGTATTATCATTCTCTTCATCATCTGGACTTCACACCGTATACTTCTGACTCCTCCTCCTTTTTATTCCCCATTTCTAGTAAGATGACCCATTTTTTTAGGTTTTTCTTTTAAAACCTTCCTCAAATATGTTCTTTCCTTTCCATCCTACCACTAACATCCATAGGCAGTTACTAGTCTCTCTGTCCTACTTCCCTCCTTCTATCCATCACCAATCATTCCAAGTTCTCAACACACCAAACAACAAACTAAAAGCTCTAAAAAGTTAGATCTTAAAGGCTTTCCACAACATGATCCTGAAGGCTTTTTAGGACCATCTCATAACACTTTTATACTTCTCCATACTGTAGTTTAAATAGATGGCAGTCATTTTCTTTCTTTTTTAACTGAAGTACAGTAGGTACAATGTGTCAATTTCTGGTGTACAGCACAATGCCTCAGTCATGCATATACATACATTTATTCGTTTTCATATTCTTTTTTCAAGATACTGAATATAGTTCCCTGTGTTATACAGAAGAAATCTGTTTTTTTTAATCCATATATTTTTATATATAGTGGCTAACATCCGCAAATCTCAAACTCCCAAATTTATTTTCTAAATATCCCTGTTCTTTCCTATCCAGTTAGTTTGGATTATATTAATCTCAATATCTAGAATATCTCATTTCTGTAGAAACAAAATCTTAGCCATTCTTCCTCTCAGGTCAAATACCACCACCTTAGAGAAATCGTCTTTCAGTCCTCTGAACACTATCTGCACCAACTTTATGGAATCATAATATAATCCTGATTAAAACTTTCCTACCTAGAGGAAGCTGATGAAAAGCAGAAACTATGCTTTGCCAATTCCTAACCAGCATTACTTTAAACATTAAAGGCATGGGATTATTTACTGAATGAATGAATTTCGGTCTGATTCAGATACTTCCTTGGACTAATATGGAGGGTCCCAGTTGTCTCTTTTGTTTTATTTTTCAAACTGAAGAACTCCTTTAAGTGAAAAATGATGCAAGAGGAGTCCAAAGTGATGAATAGGTATCCAAAGTAGGGTCCCCATACTCAGGGGCAGAGGGGTCCACAGGCCAAAAACTACACCTTATGCCCTCCTCAGAATAAAAAAAAAATCCCCAAAGTGGCTTCACTGAGGACAGAGTGTACCATTAGTATTATTTATTTTAGATTCTAATATATATCACTGAAAGATACTACTGATCGCTCATAATCAGTATGCTATATGTATTTTATAAGTGCTTTACTTTTTTCAACCAGTTGAAACATTTTAAGAAATGTGAAAAGAAAAAGAAAAAGAAAAGAAGGAAAGCACTTTTCACACTTTACAAAAGGGAGTACAGACATAAAAAGAAAGTATTTTCCAAGATGTCATAGTCAGATGATATCAAACCTCAAATTTTAAATGAAGGTTGTTTTAAAAATAACATTTTCAGTGCTTTAGATACACTGCTTTACAACATGTTGACCCAGTTTTCTTTTCTTGAGGGTAGAAATGCAATTGGTTTCTATTAGCTAACCCATGCAAGCTAACTAAAAAGAAGAATTCCTAGTATCCTACTAACAGATAAAAGCTAGGCTTGGATTGACAACTTTTTACCCAAATTGAAGAAGTACATAAAATTAAAATAAATAACAGGAAAAACTAAATACATACAGATTTATACAGATGAGTGTGTGTATATACACAAAGATATGTATGAATAGCTGTATATACAGATGAGTGCATAGCCATTATGTAAATAAATAAATCTATACAGATGAGTGCTTTCTATACAGTAGATACTCAATAATGAGTGACTAAGTGAGGCATGAATGAATGAACAGTAATGGAAATTCAATATTTTAATATAGAAATACCTGATAGATTCAGTATCTATATGCACAGGTGCTATCCTCTCCAAGAGAAACTTGATCATTTCCAGAAAAGGATTTGTAGGCTGTTTGGGGTTGCCCAACTTCTTAGTTATTTCACGCTGTAATACAGATTTTTAAAATATTTTAAAAGTATGTTTAAGTAATTAATTACATTTAAATGTTAAGAATCTATAATAATTAAAACCATGTAGTATTGGTGCTATAATAAACAAATCTATAGGAATTGAACAAGTCTGGAAAACAGATTTAAGAATTTAGCATATTGAGAAAGGTAACATTTCAAGTAATAGGAAAAAGAGAGATTATTCAATATATTGAACATATTGAATGTTGAATATTATTTCAAATTTCAGCAAAATTTCAAACAAATTTCAGCAAATAAAAGTACCAGGGGAGCTTATTAAAACTACAGATTGCTAGGTCTCATTGTGAAGATTCTCATTTGGTAAATCTGGGCTGGAGCCAAGAATCATCTTTTTTTTTTTTAAAGGCTCTAGGAAGATACATGGGCAATGGATTAAGAGATACTGACATTAGTAAACAGTCTCATTGACCTGCAGTAGAATGGGATCTCATAAGCAGGACTCTAAAGGTAAAAACCATGAGGAGGCTCAGAGATAATAAAACTATGGTATGTAAAGGACATCGTAAACAAAATGAAAAGGGTAAGCTACAACTGATAGAAAATTATCTGCAGCTTAACATACAATACCACGACAAACTGACAAATCAATAAGATAAAGATAAACTGTCCAGAAAAACAGGCAAACATGAAAAATACCACTTACGAAAGAAATATAAATGGCTAATACACCCAAGCAGAAAAATGGTCAGACAACCAGCAACCAGTTTTACAGATCCTACCAAAATAACTAAGTTTTGCTTGAGTTTTGCTTATTTCCAACAATGGTACTGGCCAATACTGAATTTATCCTAAAGAAATGAAATCAAGACTGCAAAGTTATTTAGCTGTAAAGATATTAAAGTATTCTTTATATTAATCAAAAACTGGGAAAAAATTTAAATGTGTAACACAAGAGGACTCTTCAATAAATTATGATATATATATTCAATGGTGTGCTATGTTGCTATTAAATACAATACTATAAAAGACAAATTAATAGAAAAAGGTAAAATGTACAAAGCTGTATGTATAATATAATCCTATTTTGGCAGGACATACACCATGATATTAACAAACAATTGTCTCGATAGAGGAATTACAGTTTAACTGTACTGTTATTTTTGTGATATTATCTAAATTTTATATAATAAATACGTATTATTTTACCAAAGGAGACACAAAAAGATTTGGGAGTTTCTTCAAACAGTAGCTCTTTTAAAATTTCTTTCCTTACCACACAACCTTCAGCCTGCTTGCAGGAACATGTTGGACTGACAAGTACTTCTAACTGTTTTCTTATTTTCTCATCATCTTCTAACACCTGTGTGAATTTCTTCATGAAATCCTGCGCCTTACCAGGATCTGGCAAATTTCCTTAAATTAAATCAAAATTCAATAAAAATATAATTTTAGAAATTTCTCAAAATAATAAAAAGTCAGTATATTTTATCCTTTTTATCACTTTGATGAATAATCCTAACTTATAAATTCAGTTTAATTCAATAAAATAAAAATTGTGGAGCACCTTCAATATTAAATTTTCACAAATAGAAATGTTTCCTAGAAACATAAAATCATATCACTGTGAAGGACCATCTATGCAGGGAAAGACTGAAATGGCTATTTCTAAATCACTTCTTATAATATCTAATGGCATTAAATGTCAGTCTGAATAATACCAATTTTATTACTCTCCCCTTGAGCTTGCTGCATACATTGTTGTCTTGTAATTCATAGCAAGAGATCAATAAGTTTTACCTTTAAGAAACATTTTCCTGTACTGCATTGTTTATTGTTAAACCAGCCAGAGATGATTCACACACACATGCATGCTGAGCAGCATGTTCCAGGTGTTACTGCTGCATTTGCCAATACTGCTTGCGTGAGAAAGGATGAGTCCTTATAGGATCAGAAATGATCTTTACACTACTCTCCTAATATATCACATATCACAACACTTAACAAAAGCTAATGAAATATTCATTCTAGCATCTTTTTTTCTGGTTACTCACAACTGTGATGGAGAAACTAACTGGCAGAATACTTCCAATAACTGAAATTGTAATATAGAACTATGGACTGTAATAAAAGTAGTAGAAATTTGTTGAATCTTAAATTATGAACCCAGTAAATGCCATTTTCAAATTCATATGCAACTTTGAAATTCCATTTTAAGTCTTGGCTAGATCACTGTAGTAAGAAAAATTTCCCTTCTAACTACTTGACCGTTTAACCTTTCCATATTTTTGTAATACAAAAATTCTATTGTTCTGTTTGCAAACAGTTTGGAAAATGTCACTTTACAGCCCCTCCATAATGTATATGCATCATATTAAAGGTTACAATAAAGCCTATCATTTCAGAAACAAAACAAAAAGAAAGTGAAATGGGGGTGGAGGAAGGGAGAAGAAAAGGGGGAGAAGAAGGAAGATAAAAGGAGGGGAGAGAGACAGAGAGACAGAAAGGGAGGGAGGGAAAAACAACAAAACTCTTCAGTTCAGGATTCTACAAATCTCCCTGACCATGGAACCCTTTTTTCTAACAAAACTATTAACACCTGCAGGATACTAGCATTCCTCAGAACAGAATTTGGGAAATAACTGCACTTACTGGAAAAAAAATGGATAGGGGGTTAAAAATAGAAAACAGGAGATTATCACCTTTAGGGGATAATGTCCACAGCCAAACAACCAAGGAAATAGTTATTTTAAAAAAGCAATAGCATAAAATCATTTGCTTTAAGTTATCCAAAGGGACTGAAAACTAATTTATGTTAAACTGCCCAGGACTAAAAGATATTTGGGTCTGAAATTCCTACTCATGCTAATAAATCTTCTATCACCTAGTCTAAAACCCAATGAATTAGGCTACTCTTCTCTCCAGCGTCTCAGCATTACTTCCACACACATCTTGCAGTATTTGTGAACATCTCAGAAATCCATCTAAGATCTCTTCATTACTACGGAGTGGAAGGTCAACAGAAGATTTCTCCAGGCGTTCCTGTTTTTCCATCCATATGCTAACCGCAGTGATCTCTGAGGTCAGAAGAAAGCAAATGCCCTGCAAAAACAGCTAATCTTCCCTATTCCTGCGCTGAACAAAGGAGATGGGCTACACAATCTTCCAGTATTCATTGTTAAAGGCAATTAAATTAACATTTTATTTGAAATTACTAAAAGTAAAAAAGCAAATTAGCTTTTTTTCCCAAAGGAGCTCTTTTGTAGTTACTAGGTATATCCTTCACTATAAATTTCAGCTTAGAATGAAATTAGCTTCAAATAAATTCACATTAGAGCAAAGCGACACCAAAGAACTGACTGTTTAAACAGCAAGTTTATGCAGTAACTTGAATGAATTCTCAAAAATAAATTTATATAATAAATACTTTCTCTAGCTCTTGCTCATTTCAATACACAAAAGAAAATACTGTGTCATATGCAAAATAAATGAAAATCAGAAAAAAAAGAAAAGCTGAGTATGTGGGAAAAATCAATCAAGAACACTTGAATCTTTTCTATACTATCACAGCCTAAAATGCAACTCCATGAAACACTTTACATTATCAGAAAGAAACGTTTCAAATAAACCTTAAATTTTACATATAATAATTAAAATAACTTACTTGTAATAACCATCACTTTTGAAAATATTGCCTTGACACTGGCATCTGTCTGTAAATCACACAAAAAAATGCAAAATTAAAATTTACTAACAACAATCTTCATTATATTATTCAGAAAATTAGGTAAGCACAACCTACTAACCCAAGGCCTGCACCCTGACCACCATTATATGCTCCTTCTTTAGCCATGTTTCAACTCCAGATAAACTGAATGAAAGGTGCAAGTGAAATCATACTGCACTGTTGTCCCCTCTTCTCTCATCTTGTTTTGTCAGCCTCCAAAACAAAAAACAGACTGATGCACCAACCTTTCCGGACAGGGAGATATTTTGTTTTTCTTAAGTACTCAAAGAACAGGGCAATTAAGTTTAAAAAAAGGAAACGGTTCTCACGTTTTTAGCCTTATTTCAAACAAAAAGTTGACATTTAACACAATTCTGATTGAACTGAGGTATTTCTAAAATTGTTACGCCTGAGGATTATAAGGCACAGTCAGGAAGCCTATGTGGAAGATTGGATGAAGGCAATTAAGATGCCACTGACTTGTACAAAAGATTTTTCCAAGAGTGCTAGTTATTTGCTACTATTTCAGTTAATGAATGTGTTCACCACATGGTGCTGCATGTAATACACTTTGTACAAAGTCATATGTATAAAAGATGTTTCTAAGAATGCCAGTTATTCATTCCATCAGGTTAGTGATATTTAGAATAAAAAAGATAGCAATGAGCAACTCGGTAAAATATTGAGCTAGAAAAACATCGGGATGAAGGCAACAAATCAAAACACAAACAAATAAACTAATAAACCAACCCTACTGAGGAGGAGCTTGCTGAGGGGAAGTAAGAGATAAAGAATAACAGAGTACAAGATCTAATTCCCAAATATTTAGAACTTAAAAGTATTTGAACAGATCTGTCTAGAAACGTAAGATTTCTACTGCTATTGTTTAATTTGGGGGGAAAGAGGTGGTGCTGGGCTTTTAAGAAATTGATCCACATGAAAAACATCATACAAGGTACAACATTGCAAATTACAAAGTCATTTTGAGAGGCACTGAGCAAATCAACACAGTTAAATGAAGCAGAAGGGCTACACTGCTGAGTTAAGAAAGAATAAAAACAATCTTAATTACAAAGAATAATGAAGTCAAAGAAACATACATTGGTTATTCAGTATCTAAGAGTTTTTCCGATAAAATGGAATTATAAACACCCAAGAGTTAAACATAGCTTTGTATTTTTTTCTAACTTACACTCTACAATATACAATATCTACTATAATTCTCAGTATAAAATGAATATTAAGTAATAAGAGACTAATTCTCCTTTCACTAAAGTTCCACTTTAGAGTCCTATCTTCCTCCATTCTTTCTCTTCTTCAACCCCACCACATATGAATGAGAATTCCCTATTTAATTTGGATGACTTCGTAATTATTTTAAGACAATTTAAAGAAAAATTCCACAAAGTAGAAGGGAACTAAACATTCTAATTGAATTAAGACTGTATTTTATCTCACGTACAACTGTACAGGAAAGTCATAAGACCTCCCAAGTTTTATCAACAAGTAAGGGGAAGAAGCTCCCACTAAATAAATTTTACAAGGACAGTGAGAGTCAAAAACAAAGTAATTTTTTATGACAAATGCATACTTCATACTGTTCAACGTATGCCCTTATACACTTAACATGCTACCTGGCTACTATTAAGAATTCAACAATGCCTAAAATCAGGATTAATTTTATATACATGCATAAGAACATCTTACATTTTTAATTAACACTTTTGCAACTTTACAAAAAGGAAGTAAATTAATACAGCTCTAGCTAGCAAACAAGGGCACTTCATCCATAGCTTATTATTAACTAAAACACCCTAATTGATTGCATTATAACATTGACTGAAACATGTTTATTGGCTGAAACATACTAATTTAACTGGGATTTTCCAATTTCCCTCCTTGGCAGAGAAAGTACTGAAACAGAACCACTAAAATTAGTTTAAGTCATAGGCTATAAGGAAAAACTTAGTCTAGCAGGTTAAATATACTCAATAATCATAGAAGGTTAAATTATGTTTAATAAGCCATAAACAAAGAGGTTATTGTTAGCCTATAAAACAAAAATACTATTCAGTTATAAGCTTCAATTTGGCAAACAAGTGGTGTGAAATGCCTTATTACTTGTGACTTAGAGGTTTAAAAAAAAGTGAGATGGTCACTATAAATCAAACAGCTAGCGTTAGCTCACTGATTTTTAGGGCAAATGGCCAAATTTACATCTAGGAAAATCAGAAATTTTCTCCCCTTAGATGAAATAATTCCACTCTATTGATCTTCGTCCTATGAACAAGAGGTATATTGGGGCAGGGGCTGGTGGGGGGGGTCTACTATGCACTGAATAAGAAAAAAAATAACACCATATTGTTTCCCCTGATGCAGTTTAAAATACGTTGTTTTTATACTATATCTTTTATAGGCCTATATATAACATTCTCAAACCACACCAAGTGGATGAATAACCATCAATTATAATTATGAAGACCAGTAAGTAGTACATTAAAATTACCGTAACATTAACTGTGAGTAAAAATATCAAGATATTTAACTATAATTACATGATACTAAAACTTTCTATAACCACAAGACTATACAGAGATGATGGGAGCACTTTAATGTGGCAACATGAAGTGTAATTTTACTCTATTCTATATGCTTTCAATGATGCTGAGTTACTGTTTTGGCTTTATTTAATTTCAAAGTTATCCAAAAAACCTTAATTCTAAATACACAAAAGTACATTCTCTTTCCTGCTGGATATTACCTTCTGTAGATACACTAAATTTAAATTTTTCTATGTAATAAGTTTCTTTAAAATTTCAGGGTTCTAAGTTAGAGACCACAGGTTCTAGAGTCAGAATTGTTCTACATAGAAATACCCATTTAACACATAGCAGCAATGGTGAAGAGTAACTAAAATACATGTGTTTTACAGAACTTATCAAAGGAAAACTTCTCATTAAATTTAACTTACTTTAGGTTGCTTAATTAAGTCAAGCAAATCCTTTACTTGATGTCTGAGCAGATTTTGACATTTCCACATTTCATTTAATGCTCTGAAAAACACAAACACATAAATTTAAATAACAAAATAGGATAAGAACCCTTCCAGAATATTCCAACTATATTAATTTTTTTAAAGTTCAAATTACAAAAAGAGATGACAGACATGAGGTGAAATTTATAGGACTAGGACTAGCAACTGATGATGTATGAAGAAAAAAGAGGAGTCAAATATAAGAAATAAAAACATTTGAGGAGACAGCTATATCAAAAGAAATAGTGGTGTTTTTTTTTTTCTTTTGTACAAAAATAGGGAGGATCTATCATTAACTGAAACATGTTTGTAGACAAGGGCATAGCAATTAACTGCAGAGATTAAACAATATTTAATGGAGTAAGGTCCTGTACGAGGCAGGATGAAAAGGAATCAAAGACACAAAGAGAAAAGGGTTAGTTAGCCATGAGAATGAGGATGCTTTTTCCTAAAACAGAAATATAATTTTAAGTAACAGATGTAATATTATATACTTTCATTTACAAGTAATATTTATTTATAAATTATATAAGTGAATATTCTTCTTATATCCCGAAATTTTGATGTCCTTATAGTATTTTTATTGTTCTTTGGCAGGTATTTAAATCTAAAATGAAATTATACAGGTACTCAAGAAAAATATACATAAAACAGAGAGCAGTTAATGCTACTGAAATATTGTTACAGAAAATCAGAACCAATCACATTTTAATTTTAAAAAGGAAATTCCCCCAAACCAGATAATACTTCTCCTTCTTTTGTTTTCAATTATCTATACTTCTGTTAACCTCCATTATCACACATATGAAGCACTACCAAAAAACACTAATATAATGCAGAAGCATACAAAACCACTCTTCCTCTTTTGATACATAAGGCAACTGTTTAATATTTTAATTCTCTTCAACAGTACATTTTTAAAACACCTTTGCATTTTTTAAAAGAGATAAATTAGTTTAAATCTGGACACAAATTCTTTTAAGGTAGTCACTCCAAAATGGTACTGACAAACCAAGAGTATTGCATTTTCATCTTTAAATAGCTGTACCTTACTGTTTTCAAGTTACTAAAGTTCCATAAAAAGTTTAACTAGCAATCTTTAAGAATATTAACATTAAAAGAAAAATGACCATTATCCAGAGGACTGTAAAAATCTAACAGCTAAGAGTCATGTAATTAATACAGTAATTTTCAAAGAAATAGAATAGCCATCTTTGAAATTCCTTCTGAACTTCAAAGTCAGTGAATTCTCTCTCTACCTATACCTTCTATCACAATTTACAACTTCTGAAAAGGCCTGGATTTTGAAACTTGCCTTCACTTAACATAAAGCAGAAATTATCCTACCTATTAAAGTTATTTACTAATTTAAAGATGAAATCTCAAGCAATTCTAAAGCTCACTATAAACTATTACGGTTATAGCTTAAATCAAAAAGTGACCATCACTGACTAAAAATTTGTAGTATATAACATATTTAGGGTGAGCATATCTCAAGTATTTTAATTAAATTATATTAAGCAGCAAAGGCAATGTGTCCTTACATTCTGCCCTTCTAAACAGTACTTGAGGGGAAAAAAAAAGTCATACTAGTAGAAGCAATATTACTATAGTAGGAAGACAAATATCCATTTATTTAATATTAGCCTGAATTCCAGCTCTGTCACTAAATAAACATGAAAAATCTGGTTAGAGCCTGGATATTTTTACATTTGCTAACTGACATTTTAAGTAGACAACCAGTTCCCTCACTAGGGCTTCTCCTTGTTTGTACCAACATACCACAGGTTTACGCCAATTCAAAGAAAAAGACAACTGTCACTGGGCTGCACTCAGAAACCTGTCCCAATGTTGAAGAAAACCTTTCCTCCACCCTTCTGCTCCCAACTGGCAAAGTACCCATCAGACTCAGCAGTACAGAACTGTGCAGATGAGAGCCTGCTCAATGAAAGAGAAGATCACAACCAGGACACCTGATACTACTACCTACTCTTGCCGCTAACAGCTGTTCTGGGAAACTTGAGGGAGGTGGAAATAAACATCATGCTCAGTGAGTACTCAAGCCTTCCTCTATTCTCTTTTTTGATAATCAAGATATTTAATTAACTTAGAGACTTATCCAAAAGCTGACACACATCAAAAAGTCTAAAATATAGGAAGTATTCTGTCTTCCCCAAAAGAACATAGTCATAGAATAAAACATATAGCTCTTTAAGAAAACAACAATGAAAAAAAAAACCCTTACCAAACAAGTTCTCACCAGGAACCTGTTTGCCAAGCAGCTATTTTTAAATCCCTTTCAAACTAATTACATGGAGACAGCCTAAATGTCCATCAACGGATGACTGGATAAAGAAGATGTGGTATATTTACACAATGGACTACTACTCAGCCATAAAAACCGACAACATAATGCCATTTGCAGCAACATGGATGCTCCTGGAGAATGTCATTCTAAGTGAAGTAAGCCAGAAAGAGAAAGAAAAATACCATATGAAATCGCTCATATGTGGAATCTAAAAAAGAAAAAAAAACAAAAACAAACAAACAAAGCATAAATACAAAACAGAAACAGACTCATAGACATAGAATACAAACTTGTGGTTGCCAAGGGGGCGGAGGGTGGGAAGGGATAGACGGGATTTCAAAATTGTAGAATAGATAAACAAGATTATACTGTATAGCACTGGGAAATATACACAAGATCTTATGCTAGCGCACAGAGAAAAAAATGTGACAAAGAATATATATATCTTCATGTATAACTGAAAAATTGTGCTGTACACTGGAATTTGACACATTGTAAATGATTATAAATTAATAAAAGTTACATTGTTAAAAAAGAAAAAAGGGAAAAAAAGGAACAAAAAAAGGAATAAAAAAAGGAAAAAAAAACTAATTAGAGGCCACAAATTCAAATGACTTTCTCGGCTAGAATAGTAATGTAAACGATTAAAGTAGGACAGCTATTATAATACAGAGTGGTGAGGACTATAGTGAAATTAGAAACTAACAAAAACATCAATATTATTAGTATTCACAAAAATGGGGGGGAAAATGAGACAAAATTTGATACACAAAAGATTGACAAAAAATAAGACACCTGATGTTTAGGAGGATGTAGAAACTTACAAAACACTAGTAAGAGTATAAATTAGAGTAATCTTACTGGGAAATAGTTTGACACCAGTTTATAATGCTGAAAATGTGCATGCTCAGCCAATCCACCCGTACCTGTAGACTAGCAATCCCAAACCCTGACTGCCCATTAGAATCTCCAGAAACACTTTCCTAAAAACTCCAATGCCCTACTACACTTCAGACAAATATGCAGCCAAAGGTGAGAACCATTCATAACCATACCTTAGAGAAACCCTTGTGTATGTATACTAAATCGAAAAATGTTCACAGTAGTACTATTTGTATTACTAAAAAAATGGAAACAACACAAATGTCCAAGCTTTCCATTGACTCATATTTCCAATGTCAAGATGATGGAATAAAATTGTGACATAATGACATAATGTAATCCAATACCACAGTGAAAATGAATGACCCACAAGTTATATATATATATATAGCATACAAGAAGCTTAGGAATGTAATAGAGTGGTGGGAAAAAAAATCACAGAAGACTATATCCACAATTATTCCATTTTCATAAAGTTCAAAAACAAGCAAAAATATATCATTTATTATTAAAGGATATAACATTATATATATACAAACATATGATGAAACAATTTCTTAAAAAGAAATGAGAAACACAAAATTAAGGCTAGTGGTTTCCTCTGGGAGGAAGGCAGGAGGATGAAAGGTAGAAGAGCTCACAAGTTGGGTGGCGGATTCACAGATATTTTTATTTTATTACTATGCCTCAAAACTTATATTTGATTTCTTTGCATGTATTAAATATTTCATAATAATAAATGTAAAGACTTTTGGAGAAAATAACCACAGATAAATGTAAAGTGAAAGTAATAAAATGTTGATAAGTATTAGGTGTATAGTTGGGTTAGTTAATTCCCAAAAGTTGGTTAAAACAAAAAATCATTTAAAAATATTATATATATCTTATAACACAATAAAAAAATCACACAAAAAAACAAAAAACAAAAATAAATAAAAATAAAAATATTATATATATCTTACGTAATTTAACTTAAAACAAGTAAATATTCACTCACTCACCAACTATTTCTGTAGAATCAATTGCTCCACAGGTTGGAATTTACTTTCAACTTTTCCATGGCATTATTTTTCAGTGTATTTCCTATGTCACCATTTTTATTTAATTCAATCAAATGTGCTTGTCATTTAAGCGAAGATATCTAATAAAAATATTTAGTTGTATCTGCTATTTATGTTTTCTATATTCTACTTATAATTATTTTCTTCTCTTTTTCTATTTCTAGTTTTCATTAATTTTTTGCTCCTATGGGTTTGGAAGCTATACAGTCAAATTTTATTTTTTAAGGGTGACTCAAATTTTTAATACTCACACTTGATTCATGGTCTAAGTAATCAACGTGTCCATCCTCACTCTTATATGATAAAAGACCCTTAGAACATTTTACCTGCCATCTTACATGTTGTTATCTGATAGGGTCCACCCAGGCATGGGGCAGCGTGTCCCAGGGACTCTCAAGAGAGCTCATGTACTATTACAGTTGCGTATGCTGGCTAAGTTTCAGCCTACATGCTAAACTACTTTTTAATCCATACTCCCACCACTTGAAAACTTTATCCTATTCCTTCCTTCTGGATTTAACGTCCTTTTTTATTCTTTAGCAATTCTTTCAAGTACGATCTATGAGTGGTTAACTCTCATTTTTTGCTGGAAATTGTCTTTAATTCATTTTTACCCCTGAATGACAGCTGAGCTGAGTCAAGGAGTCTATACTGATTGTGATTTCAAATAGGTTGTTTCAAATGGAATATATATATATATATGAAATATATATCTATATCTGTATGTATCTATCAGTCATCCATTCTAAGGGGTCATCAATTACACCATGAAGAAAAGGATGCATTTCAATTCGTTTTACAATCAATTAAATATACTGGTAACTTATTTTACTATACTGCAGTAGAAAAAGAATGAACTTTGGAACAAAGTAGAGGTGAGTTCAAATTCTGGCTTTGTCTGTTATTGCCTATATATCTATGTGCAAGTTAATTGACCACTGTTGGATTCAGTTCATCACATGTAAAACAGGAAAAAAATACCACTTATACTAGGACTTGCCAAGCTTTTTCTGTAAAAGGCCAGATAGTAAATATTATAAGGTTTGTGGGTCATACAGTCTCTGCTGAAACTACTCAACTTTGCCACTGCAGCACAAAAGCAGTCATAGGTAACACAAATTCCTGTGCCTGAAGTACAGTGTATATCAAGAAATACACATATTTCCTCCTGCAAAGTTTTCCTCAATATATCTATGAAAGATATAAATAGCACATATAATAATACCCATGGGGGAAATTAAGTAAAAAGTGCCAAACTAGTAGGAATGAAAATTACATACAGCTCCTTAGTCTTCTAATTTCTGAATATTTAATTCCCATTAGCTGTAACTACATTTACTGGAATACTAAGGATCTACATTTTCTGAAACCTAGAGGAAATCAATCTCTAGGCTTCAATTTCCTAATCCTCAGTATGATTCAACGGGCAACGTCTCTTGCATGTCCAAAATGCCAACTCCCTACAAAGGCATTCAAAAGCATTTTTTGAATGAAACAGTCATAAAAATATATTTGTGCTTACCCTTATGCCAAACTACAACACAATGTTGAAACTGTGCAGCACACAAATATGTACACTACTGCCCTACACCATAATTCAAATCAGTATCAGGTGAAAATAAGCAAGCAGAATTTTCATATTAGCCTTTCTAATGCCTTAAGGAAAACACAAATAAAAACAAAAAGTACATCAATATTTCTTGAAACATTATTAAGATATGGAGAGAGAAAAAAATAAATCCTAAAAGATTCCATATCAACTAGTTCTGTTTTTTAAGCGCTTACAAAAATCCTGGTTAATTTCATGTTAATAGCAGTACTTCTGAAAAAATACCCAAGTATTTTATTGTGCCTGATCATTTAAAACAATGTTTGTATTACATAAATTGTTGACATTTTAAAACACAGTTGTGCTTTCTTTTCCATACAATCCAGTATACTGTAAAAGACGGAAAGAACAGGATTTGACATTGGAAACATACTTCACAGCATTTAAGTCCAGTGTGGCATACAAGTAATATAAGCATTTCATCCGTTCTGTAGTTTCCAAATTGTGGGGGACCATGTACTGAGCAAAGATCCGTTCAACAAGCAATCTACAAAAGAACATAGAGAAGATACTGAATTGATTTCTTTAAATGTATGTATTAACTGTATGTAAAATTCCAAAACACATAAAAAAGCACATTTTATAAAAGAGCTTCTTTCTGAGTGGAGATGAGATTTCCAAATCAAAGATTTCTTTCTATAAGAGTGCAAAAAACAAACAAACAAAAAAACCCCATGATGGATGCACTGTAAACAGCCTTACATCCAGCTAAGGTAACTACCTCTGCATAACCTTGGGCAAGTTATACACTAAGGACTCGATTCCCTTGTTTGAATAATAAAGGGTTAAAAACTACACCAGAACCTTCCAAGTGACAAATTCTAATCATCTATAAACTCAAACTATAAAGAAATGTTTAAGATTCTTCTGAGTTTTCATACTGACCATCATGAAAAAAGACCTGGTGAGAAATACAAAAAGGGGGAAGGGGGCAGTGCTGTAATACAAATCTCTGTGCAATGGTGCCACACACTCGAAAAGTCTAAAAAACGTCAATTTTATAAATAAATCAATAAGAAATTTCTTAGATTATATCAACCTTAAGATACTTGGTTTCTAGTTCTTATACATCTTAAAACTGTAAGATGTTCTTTTGGTTCTTCTTTTTGGTTCTTTTTTCTCATTTTCACTTGTTATAGGCACGATCATTTGGATGCCACTAAAAATTTATCAAATCAATTCAAACTGTAGGCAGGACTTAACAGGTCTATTAACTACTAATGGTTAGGTTCCATACAAGATCTAACCTTACACTGGAACAGAAAAATACAAAGATTAAATGCAGATAATGTTAAAATTAAAATAAATAAATAATTTTTCAGCCTTGAGTTGGAATTGTTTTCATATAAAATGCCTAAATCCAAAGGGTGCATATTTATTAGAATTTTATTTCAAAAATTTTTATTAAAAAAAAATGAATGTAGATCTTTATTATCTATGAAACAAAATTTAAATCATAATTACATGCATTCCTACTTTTAAATACTACTTTGTTAAAAAAAAAATTACACAAAAATGACCATAAAAGCTGTATTCATCCTTAAAAGTTATATGTACATTACTACTTCATTAATGGCTTTGGTAGGAAGAAAACCAGCTACTCATTATCAGTAACTCACAATAAAAACTGAGGAAGGAGTTTATAGTTATAAAGAAAATAGTTTGCCTAAAACAACAGATCAACAACAGTTATATAATACCAAAAGCACCAAATATTTTACATGTGGTGTGATTAACTTACCTATCATCAATACTGTTTTGATAATATATATGTAGCAATTTGTCTTTGATCCATGAAATCTGCTTTGCAGCATCTTTTCCAGCTGCTGATTGTAAAGCATATTTCTTATAAATCTGGGCAAGTCCCATCATTGCCTCTTTGCGCACTCTCCACTTAAAATAAAAACAAAATTTTTTTATAATTTAAAAATGCTTCCATTGTATTAATTCAGGAAAGTCTGGTTTTCTAGTTTTTTATTTACCTTACACAATATATTTCCAACCTTCAATTACTGAGTATCAATTTATAATGACTATATGAAAAAACACAACTATCATTTTAATATATCTACCATGTCAATCAAGCAGGCACATATTAACATGTATAAAGAATTTTAATGCTTTGATAACTTACACCCATCACCTACCCCTAAAAACAAAAGTCAAGCACAATCTACATAATGTCACTTAGAATTAGTGAGGGAAAGCATGTTACCAAATTTTGCTGAATGTACAGACACATCAGTGGTTCATTTTGTAATATTTGGTAATCAAGTCAAAGTATAAGAGAAATGTATTCAACTATTTTTTAAATAAATACATATCTGCTATAGTGCATCTAAATTACTTATCTTGGTATGAGTCTACTGTTAAATTTTACATAAACACGGCACTATAATCAATAGGATGTTAGTAATACTTAGAACTTCTTGAATATGCAAAAACTACTCCTTTGCAGTCTGTCACTCATAGCAACATTCTTCCCTTGGTTTTTTTTTTTTGTCAATTAATTACAGTAGATAAAGAATAGTCCTTATTTCATCCATCCACTATATACATATTGAAATAAAAGACTTCAAAAGCTCTACTCATAAAATAAGAATTCCATTTGTTTGTAAAAACTTTCTAATTCCCTATTTCTAACTCTAATTCCCCAAACTGCTGCTTTAGGGAGAATTTAAAAATAGACCATATTCTAATACTGTCAATAACATAAATATATTCAATTTTCTTGGTTTTCAATTAATATTTATATGAATAAACAAAGTAGCCCTACGATGAACACAACATGATGATCAAAAATATACGTGAATTATGATTCCAATAATACACAAACACTTAGCTTAAATTCTAAGTGTAAGTAAGAAAAAGATTACATCAACACTTAGAAGACTATTATCCTACCATGATGCAAATCTCCTTTTCCTTCTTTATAGCTTTTGGCCTTTTCACTGTTTAATACTCCAGTGAAATATTCTATAAACACAAGTCTAAATTAATCAATTAAAATAAGTTGTTCTGAGTATCTACAGATTTGGAGGGAAAACTGTCCAATTCCTGTCCATCTATTCTCTATCCACAACCAGCATTACAAAGAGATAATTAAATGATGGAGAAGCACACTTGATCTTATAAACAACTGTGAAAATGCTGTATTTACCTAGTTAGATTCATAGCTATCAACAGACCTCCCACTTTCGTTGCTAATTAATCCCTAAATACCTCAAAGATCTTCATCCTTCACCAAATTACTCTCAAGTCTAAGTCTGAGAAATCCATGCCATTAAGGAAAGGCAATGGGAGGAGGAGAGAATGAATATTCACTGAAACACTTACTGAATGCCTAATACATTCCAGGCAACATGGAATACAAACATAACAAGACAGTCCTCTCTTCAGAAGCCACTGACTAATGAGTGGAGTTATTGGATGCTCAAGAAGGAAGGTGCAGGGTCACAGAAGATAGGCTAGAAGCATGCTGCTTTGTTGGGTTTAGCTTTGCCAAGTTAAAAATATCTTTTATTTTCTATTCCACAGAAATTATAACACAGTCAGCTGGAGGAATACCAACTGATACCCATACGAAAGGAAAAAGAGAAAAGATGAAAGAGAAGTGTTGGAGGCCTTTACAAAAGTCACTTACGAAAACTAGTATATAGTTTAAATATCTGACTACTATACCATTTAGAGTTGTCCCATTCTGAGGATAAGAACAAATGATACTAATAAAGAAAAACTATAAAATTTAATGTAACAAAAAGTAAAACCTCCTCATAAATATTATTTTAAATATTAAAATGCTTCCCCCAAAAGGGCTAATTAATTTTAAATCTCAGTGTTTTCAAATGAAATACCATTAAACTTCAAGTACTCAAAATGAAAACCTACTAATGATCATAATTATTCCTACTTACCCGTTTGTCTAATGTTCTCTCTCTCACAAAATTAAGCAAGTGATCATTGACCAGAAGAATATCCTTTTTAGCAGCTGTGACTATAGACACAATAACATCATGTCTAATAGCTTCCTCAGGATCATGTGACCTCACTTTAAGATACTCTGAAAGATAAATTTTTATTTGATTAAAATGGAACTTTAACACTTAAAATGTTTGAAAAAACAATACTATATGTATAATTCCTGGACAGATACACATGTGGCATAGACAGAAACACATGAACAGGATACAGACCAAATTTAATAGAGAGGTTACCCTCTGTAGAGGTAGGAAAGAGAATAGTTTGTGGAGAGCATTTCAACCTCATCTACAATTAATACCTTTTTTAAAAATCTCCTAAGCTAATACAGCAAAACTAACATTTCTGAGGAAGACAGAGGCTGTTATATTGATCTGTATTTTCTGAAATATTTCATAATTTTAAAAAATTTAACAGAACAGCAATAGTCAGATACATGATATTCTCAGTACTATAAAAATGCAAAGTTCTGAAATAGCTTATAAATATACAGATTTAAGAAAAGTTATCTCCATTAAGCATGGTTAGTTTATAAACTAATGGCTCTCACCTAAGTTCTCAAAATATTAAAGACCATTAAAACCTCATAATCTATTCAAAGTCAAGACTTACTCAAATCCAAATGCCTGAAATATTTCTAGAACTGTTCTTTAACTAAGAAATCAGTATTACCTCTGATAATACTACTTTTTATATAGGTGCTAGGAGGTAAAACTTCTAGCCTCAGGGAGTAACTTCCATGATGATGAGCTGAAGCAAGAAGACTTCACCTATCATAATCATACATACACACACACATACACACCCCCCAAAAAGGATTTTTTCCTATGTATAAAACCATTTTTTTCACCAAAGAGCATCTAGGAACATCTGCTGTTGGGGTACATAGTACCTGTTAAGTCCTTTGCTAAATCAGGATGGTTCATGAGACAATGGCTAGCAAATTTCACACATTCCAGGCGGATTGGTACATGAATGTCATTAAACCTGATAAAAATATAAAAGCACAGAGTAATATTTAAAATAAGAGAAACAGATCTGTGTTTAATCTGCACTCAATTTATATTTATTTCTCCAATTAAAAGAGAAAACAGTTTATGCAGGTTAATTCAAAGTGAAGCCAGACTATTTTAAGATAGTTTTTGACATATGACATAGGTATGAATGCTTTGGAACCTCTGTATTAAACTATGACAATCTCTTGTGAGAAGTATGTACCTTTAAGGAGCATGTTTAAACAGTACACATTTGGCTTATATGCAAGAACTGGAATGATGAAATTCTTCCTCTAAAAATTATACTTTCAAATATATCTGTTTATGCAAGTATATGTGTATACATAGTTCACTGATAAATTATATAAATCCCAAACTGAAAAGAAAACATTTCCTAGAAGTATTCTTTCTTAAACATTCACAAATGTTTGGTAGATCTTGGACTAAACTCTGTATTATTTCACATAACTCTAAAATCATGCTCAAATGACTCTTATCTATCTAGTTAATCATCATTTGCACTAATTATTTGCACTAGTATCAAAGCAAATGTTTATATGGAAATGTGAAGACCTTAGTATGTATCTCTGAACAATTAAACCTCTTCGGCTGATATGTCATTTAATTCTCTCACTCCTCTACTTCCCCTCTCTTTCGTTTCCCCCCTTGTAATTTGATGAAGCAACTGTTTCTGTTTGTGTGTGCAGTGTTTTTCCACACTTTAGAGTTTGCGAATTGTATCATTCTGATGTCAATTAAAAAGTTCCCCTCTCTCCTAAATCCTGCAAATTAGTAGCCAGTCTAGAGACCTGATCATGTTGAGGTGCATTTGTTTTAGCAAGACTCCTTGATAATGGCATTGTGTTTCTTCATCAGGAAGCACATGATGTCTAGCTGTCTCTAAACCACTGATACTTAAAGCCTACATACGTAAATTCATTAAGGAGTACAAAACAATGATTTACAAAAAAAATCTCTTAAGTAACAAACAAGAGTATTAAAGTGAAGCAAGAATTTTCTATTCAATATTTTCCTGTCTTAATTCTAGAAGATCAAAATGTTTCCAAATGTCACATCACTCAGTACAAAATTCAGCACTAAAAAGAAAAAAGAAGTCTTCTAAATGAGCAAAAAATTACTCATAAAAGCTGATTATTAGGAAGAAAAAAACTGCTCTATGAAGTACACCCCAAAAAAGTTATAAAATCTAGCCTCTGGTCTCATATAGTTTCCTGAGTGTTTTGAATCCAGGTACTCAATTCCTGTATACTTTATCACTCTCAACTAAACACATACTATATAACTATTATAAAACATCTTTAAAAATTACTCAAGCTCATTAACATTAGGAATAATGTGCAAGCTTTATGTCATTAGTAATAAAAGGAAAAATTACAATATAATAGAAAGGTAACAAGTTCAAATTAGGATTTTTCCTCTTAAAAACCTATAAAATAAAGTCTGGCTGAGCCAAGTCCTGATTTAAAGATATATTAAATGTCTATATATAAAATTGTATTTTTGTTCTAACACTTTAAATAAAACAGACTTTAATTTTACTTACACAACTTAATTAAAACATTTTGCACTACTGCCCTCGAACTTTCCATTGTATTTAAGGGGAAAAAGTCTAGAAATCTAACTCAAAATGACGACAGACTGATTTTTATTAGTTTAACACACCTTGTTAAATATTATTGAGCTATATAATAGATAAGAAATCAGGGTAAGAATTTATGGCTTAACAAGCACTTACAAAGGCTTATAGCTTCATTTAACAAATTAGAAAAACAAGACCAAGAGACAAAACTAATCACAATCATTGATAGTTCTGGTAATGAAATGGAAAGAAAAGTGATGATGACAATGCAAATACGTAAATATTAAAGAAAATAGAATATGAATCTCTAAATCCTATGCATCTGTTTATTTATAACGTATTATGTATTTTTGTCATGAGCATAATAACAAAAAAGCAGGGGAAAAAAAATCCTCCTTTATCTTCAGGGTCAAAGTAAGCTTCAGCCAGGGTACTTGGTGATGGTTTTTACATATTCCAGATCAAGGACACCTTTAAAAATGCAGTGAACTTTTTTTACAGAAAAAATACACAAACACACTCAAAATTCTACAACCAATTTCAGGAGGTTTGTGGATCATTAAAAGCATACAAGAAATCCAGGTTATCATTTCCTCTTTCTCATGAGAAAAGTAAAAAAAAGAGGTTAGTAAGAGGAACATATATAATCATTTATTTATTCATTCTGTGGATACCCTTATCTTTAAAATATCTCCAAATAATCTAACTCAATATAACTATTTTCTGGAGGGGCTATATCTCACAATGATATATTTTCAGTTGGAATTAACCACTGCTAGGCAATACAGTTTAATTCTGTGATTATAATACTTTGTGAGACAGCTTTTTAAATATATCATCTTTTAAAAATTACTGAAGACAAAATAAGAAGAAAAGGGGAAATCATAAATATGGCCAATCACTTTCAGTATTTAGAAATTTCAAAATCTAAAACCTTTCACTTCATTATAATTACAGAGAATGATCTTAAATGTGGATGTTGTTTTAAAATAATAAGTAGGCGTAAACATACATTACTTTTAAACAGGACACCAAAATCATATACCTGCCCAAGTAACACTGCCAGAGCGGTTTGTTTTGAGAGGCCAATTCTGAATCCTTTGCCCCAAACATTTTTGCCAGTAGTTTAACAACTTGTAGGCGTTCCTCATTATCATTGCTCTAAAAGAAAACACAACCGCAGCTTTAAAACCATAAGGCAGATATAGTCAGAATAATTTTTCCCATTATTTCCCTTAACTTCCAATTCCACAGGAAACCTTTCATACATTCAGCTGATAAATTATACATAAAAATGTTTTATTTGTCACAAAATTAAATGTTATCTTAAATGTTCTAATCATCTCAAATTACATTAAAAAAGTACTCCCCTACATGAAAATTCACTCCAAAGTCTGATTAAAAATTTGTGGCCCCACCTACAATTGAGGCTTATTTCCATTCAAAGTCAAATTCAAAAACTCACATCAAACCTACTTGAGGCCCTTAAAAAAACTCTTCGTGATTTTTAAGAACAGATACTAATAGAACTGGTCTGTGTTAATGCCTGGCCATTATTAAGGCTTCACAGGTGAAGATGCTAATGTGCTGGCCTAGAGTAAAGAGAGAATTATGTATGATGGTACTGATTAAGCTCTTTGTAGAAAAAATATGCACTAAATCTTCAAAAGGAGAGTCAGTTCACCTACATCCACCAGATTCATAATGGAGTTCAATAATGTGATGAAGCCTTGATAAGCAAAAGCTAATTTCTGCTTTATATACAAATTGGGTACTCTAGGAGTAAGAACTCAAATTATACTATTGATTTTGGTACCTCTAACAAATGACACAATAGTTAAATGAATGAGTCAGCCACAATACTAGACTTGAACATAAAATGTGATAATCAGGGATTGTCAAAAAGCTCCAATGTTCAAGGTACTATGGACAGCACTGCACAGATTTCTTTTAAAATTTTAAACCAATGCCTCAGCCTAGTATTGAAAGCCCCCATAATATGACCTGACTCATCTCTACTATTTCTTTCATCATTTTTCTAAAAAAGTACTTTTCAACTCTGGTTGCTCATTACAATGACATCTAAAGCTGTAAAAGAAAAACAAAAACAAAAACAAAAACAAAAACAAAAAAAACACATGCCTGGACTCTACTATTGCCAGAAATTCTGATCAACTGGTCTGGGTTAAAGCCTGGACATTATTAAGGCTTCACAGGTGAAGATGCTAATGTGCAGCCAGGAATGATTAAAACTTACTTTATGCGACCATGCAACTCTCATTCCTTGTGTTCTGTGAATTTACCCAGCACCTTCCTACCTCTATATGCTTCTGCATGGTGTTTTCTTTGCTTCAATTGTATGCTGGCTTGTATCTTTTATGACACTTATCTGGCCTCTCACTAGATTTGGATTTTTTTCCTCTTCCTCCCATAACAGATGATAAATTTGCTGGAAGCAGGAATGATAATTCCTTATTTTTATATTTCTTATAATACTCAATATTTTTATTAAAGAAAATCAAACCAACAAATAATTAAAAATATGACTGCCTCTTGCCTTATCAAAATTGCTAACTGAATGAAAAAAGGGGGCAGGAAGGTCAGTGAATCAAATAACTCACTTGAGAAATACAACAAAAATATACCCCAGAATAAAATGAGACTGATTATTTGCTCCATTTTGGGATTATTTACACTACCGACATAAACTGTTTATTTTGTAGCTCTCAAAGAGATAAATTCAAATTTTTAGAAAGAAGAAATAAAACAAAGAAATCATTTAAAAACTTTTCTGGGTGGTACAGTGTGGTTCATCAGAAATTATTAATTATAACCAGCTTTATTTAATCTTTATGTAATAATTTGAAGGAGAAAAGAACATGCCCCAAATCTGCAAATGAAACTCAATTTAATGATGTAATTTAATGTCAAGGCAATAAGGACATGTTAACAAAAGATTCCAGAAAACTATGTGATAAGCAAAGGAGCTTTCAATATAGGTTAGGCAAGTATAAGGAACACTATTAATAAAGGGAAAATATCTCACCCCATGTGGGTAACAGACCCTAAACTATTTTCATGGCAAAAATCAAAGGGTCTTGGGAACCACTATAAATTATACCTTAAAAACATAAATTTGATGTATAGCTATGATCCCAACAGCTAATCACAACCTAGAATTCACGTGGAAAATATATGAAAGGAAATACCATCCTGCTAATCATTAATTAATCTGATTCTGTCTGCTAAGCACCATGCCAGGAACTGGAGATAACACAAGTAGGCACGGTACAAATGTGTAAACAAAAAACAGTAAGATAACATCACACCTGTAACATTCAGTTAAACCCACTATGAGGATTAAAAAGTCATGAATAATACTCTTTGCTAATCAGGTTGATAAAACTGTATTATTTTTAGAATAGTTACCTTCAATTTAAATTCAAGCTGGGGTAAAACTGAGAGCAGCAAATGGCTATCAATATTATAGAGCTCCAAAATCAAGTCAAAGACATGCTCTGACAAATCACTGATAGATGTTTTCCCAAGCATCAGAACCTGATTAAAAAACTTCGGAGAAAGAAAATCTATCATTAATAGAAACACCATAGCTAAATCAAATTTTCTAAAATCTTATCATTCAATTAAATTCATTATCATCTTATATAAAGTCAAAATAGGCATATCAAAACATTTTCTAAGAGTAGATGGGAAATCATTATGGGCTACATAAAAAATAAGGAATACACCTCGTACACAATAAAAGATACGTAATTTGTACTAACTCATCAGTTAGTATATCAATAAACACCCTGCCTGTCAAATATACTTTATACCCCCTATGGTGCTTACCATATTTTATCCTGTATTATAGTTATATGAGTACATATCTAAATTTCTCTAGTAGATAAATTTCTTAAGGGCAAAGGATCACATTTTGTTCACTATACATGTATGGAAGACAACAGCAATGAAGGCAAAAAAAAAACCTTAAACCTTCACTTCATAGTAGAAGCCAATTCTATTTTTTTATGTGTAATTTTTTGTTTACAATGCAAAGCAACCTTTTAATACTTTGTCTTCTTTTATAGTCTGATAAACAATGTATACATATGTACAAGGTTTACAGCAGTAATTAAAGTCCAACTAAAAGTACACACAAACACAAGGAAAATCCAAATGTGAGTAAGCAGCCAGCTCTAATTAGTTTCCATACTCAGATCATTCAACATGTTAATACTGAAAATGGTAAAGATACAGGGCATAATGATCAAGTTCCTTTCTATTAAACGTCTTCTAAATATGTAAAAAATTAACTCAGAGCATATACCACATATTCTCAACAGTATCTTCTGTCTCCTTGAAGAAGGAGTTAAGGATTCTTTACACCATATGAGCTGTTCTGATCTCTTCTCTCTGTGACAGTTAACATACAATTTAGCTTAATTAGGTTTTCTATCTGGAAAGTACAAAGACTTCACATTTCTATGTCTTCTCTGCTTACTTTTAGTTCCTGGGTTGTTCTTAAACGAACATTTTTAGATCTCTGAACCTGTACTAACTACCTAGCCAGAAGGAGAGAAAAGAACAAACTCTATTTCACTAGTCCTTCTTTACTGGTTTTAAAAATAACTTATTTGTTTCTCCTTGTTCATCAATTTTGTGGGAAAAGAACTTTATGACATCAAAGGTTAAATCTCATTCAGGCTGAAAATAAAGTGGCTTTGTTGTTTTCATTCACAAATTTTCTCCTGTTTAAAAAGGATAAATCTACCTTTCTTTAGCAAATAAAACAGTTAATTCTTTCCAATCTGGCCAATTCAGTGATCAAACCACCATCTTCTACCAGTCTGGAGAAAACTCATTTGAAAATGGAAAAAAAAGAAAATTCCCTGGTTTAACTTCTTATAAATTCTGTCAAAAATATTTATTTGACACTTATAACTGCCACATATCTCCAAGTAGTCTTCTCCACTATATAACAAGAGCCTGTATCTTTTATGACACTTATAAAAATGTACCTGACACAGAGGTATCCAATGTCGATTTAGTAAATGAATAATACATAACAATTACTATGATACAAATATAGGTAAAACAACCTCCCTGAGGGCTTACAATTTAGTGGAGGTAGCAGATATAGATCTGAATAAAGTATTTCCTTCCAGAAAACATAAGTGTCTCACTTACAAATCGGTAACTAATTTTCACATTACAAACTGAAGTATAACAACCACCTCCTAATGAAACAAGGAGTAAATTAAGGGTCAGTAAAAAATTCTACCTTAGATTTAAACAGTCAATTTTAATTACAAAACTGCTTTCATATTAATTAACACATTCTCTACCATCACCCCAAGTATTATTAACTCCAATAACAGCCTAAGTGAGATTTAGCAACGTAACCAAATTTGACCTATATCAAGATGAACTTGATATATTTTTCCATCCAACAAAATAATTTTGTGCCATCTCCTTAAACTTGTGATTTTAAAAATCCAGAAAAAAAAATAACATTACCAGAAAGTGATCCATGTAGGAAATTTTTTGAATTGCACTATGTACTTTGTTTTTGACACTGTTTTACCTTTCTAAAATATATATATATATATATATATATATATATACACACACACACACACAAAATATATACTACACTACTACGTTTTACGTTTCGTTGTTTAGTTTAGTTACGTAAATTAATAACTTAACTTAACTTTAATTTAAATT